AGGCGGGGCTGATGCAATGAAATGTAGACGGGTCTCTTGTGATACAATAGTGAATAATTGTTTTCAGGACTGATTGTGAGGGTCAGAAATGTAAAGGTAAACATTTTATAGCAAGGAGGGGAGTGATTAACTTTTCAGTCTAGGAGTGGAGGTCCCTAGGACAATCAAGGGAGAAGAGTAGAGAGTGGGACCCTACCCAGAGAAGCAGTGATGCCTGAATTGGAGTCAGAGATGATGACGTGGAGCAATGGAGCAGCTGGAGACTTTAGATCCAGAGAGGGAGAGTGACTGTGTGCTGAAGACCTGGGGGGTACAGGGGAACGATTGCATGGAAGGGATTGTAACCATGGCAATGAGATGGTATAAGAGAATGAATGTAAAACTAATGTTCTCCCATGTAAACTATCACATAATTCACAATAAAACATTTAAGAAAAAAAAAATACTTATAAAGATCAAAGACCACAGCCTTCAGTATGGTTGCATCTCAGTGTAAAGAAAACACAAATGCTCACCACTGGACCAATAAATAACATCATGATAAATGGAGAAAAGATTGAAGTTGTCAAAGATTTCATTTTGCTTGAATCCACCATCAACACTCATGGAAGTTGTTGTTGTTTAGTGCCGTTGAGTCAGCTCTGCCCCATAGTGACCCTGTATAGGGTTTCCAAGGAGCAGCTGGTGAGCTTGAACCACCAACCTCGCAGTTCAAACAGCTTTGCAGTCTGGCGCATTAACCCACAGTGCCACACCAGACCTCATGTAAGTAGCAGTCAGGAAATCAAACAACATACTGCATTAGGCAATTCTGCAGCATAAGACCTCTTTAAAGTATTCAAGAGCAAAGATGTCAGTTTGAGGACTAAAATGCATTTGACCCAAGCCATCGTACTTTCAGTGCATGTGAAAGTTGGACAGTGAATCAGAAAGACCATAGAAGAATGGATGCATTTGAGCTATGGTGTTGAAAAAGACTATTAAAGGTACTATGGTCTGACAAAAGAACAAACAGATTTGTGTTAGAAGAAGTACAACCAGAATGCTCCTTAGAAGCCAAGATAGCCAGACTTTGTCTCTTAGTCTAGATACATTATCAGAAGGGACCAGTCCCTGGAGACGGACATCATGTTTAGTAAAGTGGAGGGTCAGTGAAAAAGATGGAGTACAGGAGGTGGGGCTTGATGGCAGATAGGGTAGAGGTGCAGTGAAGCTCTCCATGAATAATACCACAGAATACCAGATAAAGCAGGTTCAGGGGAGAGCCCCAAAAACCTGAACCACATAGGTAGGAATATTTTTAAAAGTTTGAAGGCTTATTTATAGTTAGTGGAACTCGTAGCAGAAGTAAGAAATCTCGTACTTTAGAATCTGCTGGGTTCAGCAGCCTGAGCCAACAACTTGGGCAAGACCAAATGGCGAGACCAAGTGGGGAAACAAACAGACGCACCACGGAATCACACTACGGAAACCCTAGAGCAAAGGTGGACAATATACTGGTTGGTTTTGCATTGTTCAGATTTTTTTTTTTTTTT